TAATATTTTTATCCACAAATGTGGATAATTTTTTTATTCACAAATGTGCATAATTTTTTTATCCACAAACGTGGATAATACGTTTATCCACAAATATGGATAAAATTTTTATCCATAAATGTGAAAAATATGTTTATCCACAAATGCGGACTATATTTTTATCCACAAATGTGGATAATACTTTTATCCAAAAATGTGGATAATATTTTAATACACAAATGTGGATAATATTTTATCCACAAATGTGGATAATTTTTTTATCCACAAATGTGGATAATATGTTTATCCACAAATATCGATAATATGTTTATCCATGTTAATGTGGATAATTTTTTATCTACATATGTCGATAATTATATTTATTCACAAATGTGGATAATATTTTTATCCACAAATGTGGATATTTTTTTCCACAAATGTGGATAATAATTTATCCACAAATGTGGATAATAGTTTTATCCACAAATGTGGATAATTTTTTTATTCACAAATGTGGATAATATTTTTATCCACAAATGTGGATAATATGTTTATCCACGAATGTGGTTAATATTTTTATCCACAAATGTGGATAATTATTTTTATCCACAAATGTGGATAAAATGTTTATCCACAAATGTGGATAATAGTTTTATCCACAAATGTAGATAAAAATATCCACAAATGTGGATAATTATTTTTATCCACAAATGTGGATAAAATGTTTATCCACAAATGTGGATAATAGTTTTATCCACAAATGTAGATAAAAATATCCACAAATGTGGATAATATTTTTATCCACAAATGTGGATAAAAATATCCACAAATGTGGATAATTATTTTTATCCACAAATGTGGATAAAATGTTTATCCACAAATGTGGATAATAGTTTTATCCACAAATGTGGATAATTTTTTTATTCACAAATGTGGATAATATTTTTATCCACAAATGTGGATAATATGTTTATCCACGAATGTGGTTAATATTTTTATCCACAAATGTGGATAATTATTTTTATCCACAAATGTGGATAAAATGTTTATCCACAAATGTGGATAATAGTTTTATCCACAAATGTAGATAAAAATATCCACCAATGTGGATAATTATTTTTATCCACAAATGTGGATAATATTTTTATCCACAAATGTGGATAATATTTTGTATCCACAAATGTGAATAATATTTTTATCCACAAATGCGTATAAAATTTTTATCCAAAATTGTGGATAATATGTATATCCGCAAAAGTGGATAATATTTCTTTTATCCACAAATGGGGATACTATTTTTATCAGCAAATGTATAGAATTGTGAAAAAATGTGTTTTTTGACGAAAATCTTTATGTAGAATCTCAGAGTGGTGCATATTTTTAGGGATGTGTAAAAAAAAAAAATAACGTAGCATAGTTTTAGGCGCCTTTTGGAATTCTATTTCTTTTTATACCCGCAGCCATATGGCTACAGGGGGATATATATCATTTGATATGACCAAAATCTGACTGATCGAAATCACTATTTTAAATCCTAGGTCTCTTTGCACCAAATCCGTTTAAAGACATTTGGAGTCGATATAGGGGTGTCCACCCGTCTGTCTGTCTATCTAGCTGGGTGGTGCACATAACTCCCGAAGGGAGTATCCGATTTGGTCCAAACTTGGTACATCGTAATATTATTGACAGACTTAGATTGAGTTCGAGGATGGGCAGTATCATAACACTCCTTCTGGTACCTCCCCCACAAAGGGTCAACATTTTCACAGAAAAAAAATTACCTTATAGAACAAGATAGGATCATCCGATTTTGTTCAAGCTTTGCAATTCCCAATATTTTTATCAGTTGTAGGTCTGGTGCCAAAATAGACAACATGGGCCCACTCCATCAAGTACCTCCCCACATAAGGGAGCAATATTTTGAATAATTGTAACTCCTACAAAATGTGAAATAAAAGTGTGATTCCCTCCAAACTTTGCACATCTCAATATTTCTTTTAACACAAAATTTGGTGTAAACATGGAATATAACGGCCCTCTCCGTCTGGTACCTCCCCCCCAAAGTCTTAAAATTTTGAATAATTATAGATCTTAAAAAAAGTGAAATAAGAGTCAGATTCTCTTCAAATGTTGCACATCGCAATATTTCTTTTAACACCAAATTTGGTGTAAAGGTGGAATATAACGGTCCATGCCTTCTGGTACCTGCCCCACAAAGGTGTCAAAATTTCGAATAACCATGAAGAAGGAAATGAGCATCCGACTCACGGTCTGGTGTGAATATGGGAGGTATCGGTCCACTCCTTCGGGTACCTCCCCCACAAAGGGGTTAATATTATGAATAATCAAAATGTTCATAAAACGCGACATAAGCATCCGATTTCTTTTAAAATTGACACATCACAATATTTTCCTTTCTACACGATCTGGTTTGAAGATGGGATGTATCGATCCACTCCTTCCGGTACCTCCCCCACAAAGGGGTCAAAATTTTGAATAACCCAAGTGCTCATAAAACGCGAAATTAGCACCGGATTCTTTCTAAACTTTATTCTTTCTAATATGTTTACTAACACAAGATTTGTTGTGAATTTTGTGGAGATCGGTCTACACTTTCTGGTACCTCCCCCACAAAGGGGTCAACATTTTGAATTATCAAAATGTTTATATAATGCGAACTAAGCATTCGATTCTTTCCAAACTTCATACATTTTAATATTTTTACTAACACAAGATCTGGTGTGAAGTTGGTGGAAATTGGTCTACTCCTTCTGGTACCTCCCCCACATGGGGTCAAAATTTTGAATAATGAAAATGCTCATATAACGCGAAATAAGCATCCGATTTATTCTAACCTTCATATATGCCAATATTTTCCCTAACACAAGATCTGGTGTGAATATGGTGGAAATCGGTCCACTCCTTCTGGTACCTCCTAAACAAAGGGGTAAAAATTTTGAATTATTATAATTCTTAAAAAATGCGAAATGATCAACCGAATATTACTAAACTTCACACATTCTAATATTTTTACTAACCAAAGATCTTATGTAAAGTTGGTGGAAATCGGTCCACTCCTTCGGGTACATCCCCAACAAAGGGTTCAAACTTTTAAATAATCAAAATCCTCATAAAATTTGAACTAAGCATTCGATTCTTTCTAAACTTCATAAATTTCAAAACTAACACAAGATCTGATGTGAAGATGGTAGTTATGGACCCACTCCTTCCGGTACTTACCCCACAACGGTTCAAATTTCCCTCATAAAATGCGAAATAAGCACCTGATTTTCTTCAAATTTCCTAAAAAAATATACTTTTAGGGTTGTGTAAAACATAGCATACCTTTAGGAGCTTTTTAAATGTAATTTAATTTTTTTTTAAATTTTTATTATTTTATTTTTTGTAATTATTGTTTTTAACTTATGTTTTCCTGCCATATTTACTATATAAAAAAATATTTAGGGATTTTTAGGCCAATTAATGTTATAGAATTAATGACAAAACAGAAATACTTTAAAAAGCCAAGAGCACTCAATATGAATAATGAAAAAAAAAATAAATAAAAATTAAATTAAAAAAAAACTCACGAAACCCAAGGCAAAGTTGTTGTAAAATTATTAACTATTAACAATCATTGCAAATCAATAAGAAATAAAAAAAATCCAAAAAAATGCTTACAAAAAATGAAACAAATTTTTAATGAAGAAGAAGGGGAGTAAAACAACCTAAAAACGCGATCTTCCTATCCCATGTGTTTTTTTGTAGAGACTAAAAATTTCTTTTGAAAAAAAAAAAAAAAATAAATAAATAAAAAAAGGAAAAAAATACTGAAAAATACAAAAAATCAAGACAATATTTTTTAGAGAAAGAAAAAATAAATGCTTATAATTTTTTCTTCAAAAAAAAAAAAAAAAAAAAAAAAAAAAATAAAATAAAAATGCTTAAGTGTTACAAATTGGGAAAAACATATAATAAAAAATACAAAAATAAATAAACTACAAAACTTGTACTATAAACCATCTATAAATCCATACATCTTATATTGACAAATATTGCAAAGAAATATGGCTCCAAGAAAAAATTAAAAAAAAATATATTGAAAAAATAAAGACCAAAAAAACTTAAAAAAATTGTTGAATCATTAAAAAAACATATAAAAATTCCAGAAAAAAATATATATTGCAAAACAAATTGAAATCATTTTCCGTTGTTACTTACACGTAAAAAAAATTCACTAACAAAAATATATTTTCCAGACCCACATACACACCCCCAAAACTCACACTTTACTGAGAGATATTTATGTTGATGCATTGAGAAAAAATATTAATATAAAAAAATTATATATAAATATATATTATACATATGTGAAAAAGAGGAAAATCTATATGAAAATAAAATAAAAAAAAATTAAAAAATGAATGGACTTTCATTAAAAAAAAAAACAAAATATCTAAGAAATCCACGATTATTGGTCAGTTGGTCCTTGAAAAGAAATCTTTAAAAAATCCATGATTTTTGCTCTCTTAATCCTTGAAAACACCTCCTTTAAAAATCCCCAATTATTGGTCAGTCGGTCCTTGAAAAGGAATCTTTAAAAAATCCACGATTATTGGTCAGTTGGTCCTTGAAAAGGAATCTTTAAAAAATCCACGATTATTTGTCAGTTTGTCCTTGAAAAGGAATCTTTAAAAAATCCACGAATATTTGTCAGTTGGTCCTTGAAAAGGAATCTTTAAAAAATCCACTATTATTGGTCAGTTGGCCCTTGAAAAGGAATCTTTAAAAATTCCACGATTATTGGTCGGTTGGTCCTTGAAAAGGAATCTTTAAAAAATCCATGATTATTGGTCAGTTGGTCCTTGAAAAGAAATCTTTAAAAAATCCTAGATTATTTGTCAGTTGGTCCCTGAAAAGGAATCTTTAAAAAATCCACGATTATTGGTCAGTAGGTTCTTGAAAAAAAAATTCTGAAAAATTCCCAATTTCTACCCTAAGGTCCTTGTAATTTTTCTGAATTCGTTTTTTATGAAAAATTTATTTTGCCAACAAAATATATTCTCTTCAATACATTTCGATTCTTTCCCCCTCTCCTCTCCTCTCCTCTCCTCTCTTCACTCCTCCCTTTTCGACAGCTCCTCAACAAGTTTGGCACTTTGGGCCTTTAGTTGTTTACGATTCGGTATGTTGTGTGAAATTTTCGCATCTTCCAAGACATCCTCATCCTCGGGCAGTGGCTTGGACGTCTCGGCCAGATCTTCTAATTCCATGCTGGCCAAATATTTCTGATGATAATCCTCGGTAAGCTCAGCGCTGTCAAAGGGTATGGTTTTGCGGGTCCTCTGGGAGGGTAGCAATTTTTCGTAGGCTTCCATGAGGGTTTTGAGTTTACGCTCGGCATTTTGGAGAATTGTCTTGGCTACATGGGAAAGTCAGAGACAAAGAGAGAGAGAGATAAAGAGACAAAGAGGGAGAGAAAGAACAATAGAGAGAAACAGGGAGAAAGAAAAACAAGGAGAAATAGAGAAAAATGAGAGAGAGAGTCAAAGAGTGAAAATAGAGAGAACAATTTCTTAACTCACTATCTTCCTCGAAAAGTTCTGGCGGAACCGCATACATGGTCAGCATTTCATATTTGAGCAGAGGCAACTTCAAATAGGGTGTGGGATATTGAATTTTATGTACCCTGGGTGGCCGCCCAACGTGGCGCACTATATCCGAGATATTCCAGAGAGCGTATCTGAAAATTTTCAATTTGGAGGGGGTCATTATTAGGTAGGACGTTTAAAATGACTTGAACGTTTACCTCAGTATTACAAAGACTGCAGCTCGATTTTTCATGTGGGCCAAGGTCTGAACCTCCTTGGCATCCTCCAGTTTGATTTGCTCTTCCAGGTCCTTAATGTTCTTGAGGCGCCTAGGAGAGGTAATTCGTAGTCATATAATCGGAGGTCAGGGAAAGGATAACAAGTCAAGAAAAGTTAATTTGAGGTCTTTTTTTTTGAAGAGGAAAACTGTCTAGAGTTTTATGGCGTCCACATGGAGGGGCCCTGGTGTCCATGAGTCCTTCGAAATGTACAACTGAATTCCAGACAAGCCCTCCATGGAAAATCCACTACTAGCCTTACCTTTCCTCCTCCTCAAAATAGTTGTTCAGCAAAATGCTCTGCTGTTCAGCTGCCACTCTCTCCTTGAAGGCCAGGTAGTCTGTTTGCATGTGGCCCAACTCGTTTTGTTTGATGAGCTTGAAATTGATTTCAACCTGGGTTTTGATTCTAAAAATTAAAAAAAAAACTGAAATTAAAAAATAATTTATAAATTTCCAACCAACCTCGGAAATATTTCCGTAGCCTTGGAACACAAAGTGGCCTCCTTGATTTGTTTTATGACCGCCTCAATGGACTCCAATTCATGTTGGAGGCTAAGCATGCTCTTGGTTTCACGTGTATAATGTTTGGCCATATTCACCACCAATTCGGGCGGTTTGGGACCCTTGGGTTGGCCTGGCTTTACGTCCGATTCATTAAAACTGGTTAGATTTTCCAATTTTATTTGGGCCGACTTACGGGATTTGTCCTCCATTTGCTGGGGAGGAAAACATATTCAATTATTATGAAATAAAAAACCTCAAACCCCCTTCCTCACCCTATACTCCATTCCCAGCTGCTTGAATTTTGCAATGGCCGGTGTTCCCAAATACAGGATGTGCTTGATGAAACTCGCCTGATCGTTGATGTCCTCGCACAAGGAACGCAAAATCGGTTCATAGAATATACCATCATGCCGTAGGACCTCTATGATCTTCCTATAGGTTGCATTCACTGCCTTGATGGCCCTCAAACGGGTATTGGAATTTTCAATATTTTTCTCGAAATCTCGCATTTGTAGCTCTTCGTCCAACACAAATTCATTTTGGTACTTTATGCGATTTTCAATCTCACCCTTCTGTACGATTTTCAATTCGTATTCACTTTTCAGTTGGCGCAGACGATGCGTGAGACGATCTCGCTCCTTGCGCATCACAAATGTCCTCTGATTGATGTTGTCCACCACCATATGGACGGGCATCTTCTCATACAGACGCTGCATGTCCTTGTGATTGATGAGAAAATTCCGCACACATAGGACATTATCGCCGAAGAGAACATTTTGTAATTTGGTGCGACCATCACGACATTGCAGGCGTAGGCGGCGGGCCGATTTGAGGAGACCCTTGCGGGAGGCTCGATTCTCGAGGCGTTTGAAAATCATGCGTTTGCCTTACGAAGGGGGGGGGGGGAGAGTGGAGGGAGGGAGGGAAAGAAGGGGAAAATGGGATTAATCGTATTACCTCGCTCTCTCTCTATCTCCTACTTACTTAGCAAATCCGCCATGCCCTGAAACTCATCAATCAATGCCCCCATGGACCAGCGCTCATCAATGACCATGTGTTGCCTGAGAAAAGTGGATTCGAAGAGACCATGGTTACGTATGGCCCTGGGATGTACGGGCCGAGGAGCCAAAATATCGGTTGTTTTTATGGCCTTCATCCTTAATATTCGAAGATGTTTTGAGTTTGAATTATTTTTTTTGTCGATTAGGAACTTCAGTTAGGAAAAAATATAGTTTGAAAAGTATCGGCATGGGTTCAAAATTTAAGGGTTACCAAATCAAAAATGTATGAGCAATAATCATCAAATAATCATTGATTATAGGGTACAATACTCACTACCCAGAGCGGTCAATAGTTATTGGCAAGAGGGGTAAATGATCATTGACCCGAGGGATTAGTAGTTCTGGACCTAAGGATTAATCAGTGGGGTCAATTTTCATTAACCTAATTAACCAACAGTCATTGACCAGAAGGGTCAAAAGTCATTGACCTAATAAACAAACAGTCATTGACCAGAGGGGTTAACTGTCATTGACCAGAGGGGTCAATAGTCATTGACTAGAGGGGTCAATAGCCATTGACTAAAGGAGTCAATAGTCATTGACCAGAGGGGTCAAAAGTCATTGACCAGTGGGGTCAATATCCATGGACCAGATAAACGCACAGTCATTGACCAGAGGGGACAATATTCATTGACTTAAGGGATTAATAGTCATTGACTAAAGGGGTCAATAGTCATTGACCAGAGGAATCAATAGTCATTGACCAGAGGAATCAATAGTCATTGACCAAAGGGGTCAAGAGTCATTGACCAGTGGGATCAATAATCATTGACCAGATGGGCCAATAGTCATTGACGACAGGGGCGAATAGTCGATAGTCCTTGACCTGAGGGGTCAATATTCATATATCAGAGGGGTCAATAGGCATTGATCAGAGAGGTCAATAGTCATTGACCAGAGGGTTCAATAGTCATTGACCAGAGGGGTCACTAGTCATGGACCAGATGAGTCAATAGCCATTGACCAGAGGGGTCAATAGCCATTGACCAGAGGGGTCAATAGTCATTGACCAGAGGGGTCAATAGCCATTGATCAGAGGAGTCATAAGTCATTGACCAGAGGGGTCATAAGTCATTGACCAGAGGGGTCATTGACCAGAGGGGTCAATAGTCATTGACCAGAGGGGTCAACAGTCATTGACCAGAGGGGTCAACAGTTATTGACCAGAGGGGTCAATAGTTATTGACAAGAGGGGTCAATAGTCATTGACCAGAGGGGTCAATAGTCATTGACCAGAGGTGTCAATAGTCATTGACCAGAGGGGTCAATAGTTATCGACCAGAGGGGTCAATAGTCATTGACCTGAGGGGTCAATAGTCATTGACTAGAGGGGTCAATAGTCATTGATCAGAGGGGTCAATAGTCATTGACCTGAGGGGTCAATATTCATATATCAGAGGGGTCAATAGTCATTGACCAGAGGGGTCAATAGTCATTGACCAGTGGGGTCAATAGTCATTGACAAGAGGGGTCAATATTCATATATCAGAGGGGTCAATAGTCATTGACCAGAGGGGTCAATAGTCATTGACCAGTGGGGTCAATAGTCATTGACAAGAGGGGTCAATAGTCATTGACCAGAGGGGTCAATAGCCATTGACCAGAGGTTTCAATAGCCATTGACCAGAGGGGTCAATAGCCATTGACCAGAGGGGTCAATAGCCATTGATGAGAGGGGTCAATAGCCATTGAACAGAGGGGTCAATAGTCATTGACCAGAGGGGTCAATAGCCATTGACCAGAGGGGTCAATAGCCATTGACCAGAGGGGTCAATAGTCATTGACCAGAGGGGTCAATAGCCATTGGCCAGAGGGGTCAATAGTCATTGACCAGAGGGGTCAATAGTCATTGACCAGAGGGGTCAATAGCCATTGGCCAAAGGGGTCAATAGCCATTGGCCAGAGGGGTCAATAGCCATTGGCCAGAGGGGTCAATAGCCATTGACCAGAGGGGTCAATAGTCATTGACCAGAGGGGTCAATAGTCATTGACCAAAGGGGTCAATAGTCATTCACCAAAGGGGTCAATAGTCATTGGCGAGAGAGGCAATAGTCATTGACAAGAGAGGCGAATAGTCATAGATCAGCGGGGTTGATAATCCTTGAACTCAGGGGTCAATATTCATAGATCAGAGGAGTCAATAGGCATTGAGCCAGATCAACGGGGTCAATGGTAATTGATCAGAGGGGTAAATTGTTATAGGAAAGATAGGTCAATGGTAATTGACTAGAGGGGTCAATAATGATTGACGAGAAGGGTCAATAGTCAGTGACAATACGGGTCAACATTCATAGAACTAAGGGGTAAATGGTCATTGACAAGAGGGGTCAATAATAATTAATCCGAGAGGTTTATAGTCATTGACCAGAGGGGTTAAAATTCATTGCCTAGATCGGTCAATTGGCTTTGATCAGTGGGGTCAGAACCTTCTCAATTTCCGACTCTCCTAAATTCTTTGCAGTGTGATGCCCTTTTTTCAATTTTTTTTGACATTTGGGAAAATAAAATCAGTTTTCGATAAAAAATTGGAACAAATGATTTAGCTTCTTTTCATTTTTGGAGATTTTTCATTTATAGAAATCATATTTTTTACTCCATAAATCGAATGTAATTTTGGATTTACCGCAAAAGGCTTTCAGAAGAAGATAAAATCCAAAATTTATCCAAAAAACCCCGACAAGCAAAAAATGTTGAATAAATCTAAAAATTCCGAGCAAAGGGTACATCCCCGGGCCATACGCACTCATGGGTTACTAGGCCTTCCATTTCTCAAACAGCACATGATGAGCGATGAGAGATGGTCATCGAAGGATTTGAAGGATGAGTTCAAGGCCATGGCAGGATGTTTGGGTAAGGTAAACGGGTTTTTCCAAAGGGATTTGAAATTAATTTCGCTTCCCTTCAGAAAAACATCAGCTCTTCAAGAGCATAGAGAAACATCATCAGCTACAACATATTGCCCGCAATCTACAAAATCTCCGCAAGCAATGTCGTCAAGGCCGTCAGGAATTACAGGTCGTAAGGAAAATAAAAAATCGCCATACCATAAGAAATCTACTGCAGGATAATAAAGAGCAGCAATGCCTCTATCAGGATATGCCAATACATGAGGTTGTGGAGAACATTGATCAAAGGACATTTGTGCTGCGCAAGGAACAGGATCGTTTAAGGGATAGAAAAAATAAGTTGGAACGGCAATTGAAGGAGTTGAAGGTGGGGGACGTTGATAAAAATTAGAAAATATTCCTTTATGTCAATTTCTTTAGCTAACGGCCTCCAGCCTTGAGGATCGCATCAAATTCCAAGATGTCTTTGAGCTGAACGAAGAAAAACTGGCCAAGGAATGTGAAAAGAAGTTGGCTAACAGTCAGATTCGTTTAAGGGCCATAAAGACCATTAACACCACCTATAAAAAGGTCCTGCAGGTTCTCCACCATGACGAAATGTTCTATGATCCCATACTCCAGTCTTTGTGTGATGATATTGAAGACCAGAGAATGTTCATAGAATATATTCTGGATGTGGGAAAACCTGCCCTGGAAAAGTTGAGATATTTGAAAGAATTTTCAAAGGTAAGGTAGGATACGAAGAATAGCTTAAAGGTTTTTCTTGCAATTTTTCGAAATTTCAGGAATACAACGATAAAGTTCGCTGGGAAACTCAAACATTGATCCATGAGATTTCCAGTAAACATAAAATGTTGCAGCCCGGCAAACCTGCTTCTGTGGTGCGGGCCAAGGAAGATGATGCCACTCTCTTGGCTGATGCCCGAGAGAGATATGCCCGTACTACCTATAGCATGAGTAAATTGGAGGATGAATTGAATAAGGTATCAGAGGTCATAAATGGCATCAAATTTGCCACGCTGTGTTCGACGGCAACAGAGGTGTTTCCAAGGTGAGAGAAGATCATTTATAGACCTGTAATGATGAGGGGGACAGAGTCCAAGACTACAGATGTCAAAAGCCCCTGACCAAAGAGACCAAGAGACATACATCTAAGAGGTTAACGGTCAAATAACAAAGGGGTAAATTCTCATTGAGCAGAAGAGCCCATAGTCATAGACCAGAAGTATCAATAGTCATTGACTAGAGGAGTCAATAGTCATTGACCAGAGGGGTCAATAGTCTTTGACCAGAAGGACCAATAATCATTGACCAGAGGAGTCACTAGTCATTGAACCAGAAGGGTCAAAAGTCATTGACCAGAAGGGTCAAAAGTCTTTAACCAGAGGGATCAATAGTCATTGACCAGAACGGTCATTAGTCATTGAACAGAAGGGTCAACAGTCCTTGACCAGAAGGGTCAATAGTCATTGGCGAGAAGGGTCAATAGTCATTGACCAGAAGGGTCATTGACGAGAGCGGTCAAAATTCTATGACCAGGGGGGTCAATAGTCCTTGACCAGATGTGTCAATCTTCATTGACCAGAAGAGTCAATAGCCATTGATCTGAAGGGTCAATAGCCACTGACCAGATGTGTCAATAGTATTTGACTAGAGAGGTCAATAGTCTTTGACTAGAGAGGTCAATATTCATTGGCCAGAAGGGTCAATAATCATTGACCAGAGGGATCAAAAGTCATTGACCAGAAGGGTCAATAGTCATTGACCAGAAGGGTCAATACTCATTGACCAGAGGGATCAATAGTCATTGACCAGAAGGGTCAATAGTCATTGACCAGAAGGGTCAATAGTCATTGACCAGAAGGGTCAATAGTCATTGACCAGAAGGGTCAATAGTCATTGGCGAGAAGGGTCAATAGTCATTGACCAGAGGGGTCAATAGTCATTGACCAGAGGGGTCAATAGTCATTGACCAGAGGGGTCAATAATCATTGACCAGAGGGGTCAAAAGTCATTGAACGGAGGGGTCAATAATCATTGACCAGTTGTGTCAATAGTCATTGACCAGTTGTGTCAATAGTCATTGACCAGAGGAGTAAAAAGTCATTGACCAGAAGGGTCAATAGTCATTGAATAGAAGGGTCACTATTCATTGACCAGAAGGGTCAATAGTCATTGACCAGAAGGGTCAATAGTCATTGACCAGAAGGGTCAATAGTCATTGGCGAGAAGGGTCAATAGTCATTGACCAGAGGGGTCAATAGTCATTGACCAGAGGGGTCAATAATCATTGACCAGAGGGGTCAAAAGTCATTGAACGGAGGGGTCAATAATCATTGACCAGTTGTGTCAATAGTCATTGACCAGAGGAGTAAAAAGTCATTGACCAGAAGGGTCAATAGTCATTGACCAGAGGGGTCAATAGTCATTGACCAGAGGGGTCAATAGTCATTGAGCAGAGGGGTCAATAGTCATTGACCAGAGGTGTCAATAATCATTGACCAGAGGGGTCAAAAGTCATTGAACGGAGGGGTCAATAATCATTGACCAGTTGTGTCAATAGTCATTGACCAGAGGGGTCAATAGTCATTGACCAGAGGGGTCAATAGTCATTGACCAGAGGTGTCAATAATCATTGACCAGAGGGGTCAATAGTCATTGACCAGAGGAGTAAAAAGTCATTGACCAGTTGTGTCAATAGTCATTGACCAGAAGGGTCAATAGTCATTGAATAGAAGGGTCACTATTCATTGACCAGAAGGGTCATTTGCATTGACCAGAGAGGTCAATAGACATAGACCAGAGGGGTCAATAGTTATTGACCAGAGGGGTCAGCAGTCATTGAGTTGAGGGGTCAATAGTCAGTGACCAGGGGGGTCAATAGTCACTGACCAGAGGAGTCAATAGCCATTGACCAGAGGGGTCAATAGTCATTGAGTTGAGGTGTCAATAGACATTGACTAGTCAATAGTCATTGACCAAAAGGGTCAATAGTCATTGACCAAAAGCGTCAAGCGTAATTGACCTGTGGGATCCATAGTCATTGACCTGAGGGGTCAATGGCCTTTGACCGGAGGGGCCAATGGTCTTTGACAGGAGGCTTCAATAGTCATTGGCCAGAGTGGATAAAAATCTCTGGCCTTAGAGGTCAATAGTCGTTAACTAGAAGGGTCACTAGTCATTGACAAGAGGGGTCAGTAGTTATTGACTAGTCACTGACATCCTTTTTCGGCTGCATTCCTATCATCCTTTAACTTTCAGAATCAAAGGACAAATTGAGCAAAATTACAAAATGAAAAAGGAAATCGTCTGCGATTCCCTGTGCCAGGCCACATTGGAGACCAAAGAGAAATACTGTGAGGTCCTGCAGGAGGTCATCAAAAATAATCTATCGCAGGCGGAAATTGAGTAAGTCAAAATAATATCGTAAGGGATTTTTAAGTAAAAGGCAAATTTCTTTTAAAAGTCGCCTGGACAGGATCAAGGACCTCAATGAGCAAATTACAAATCAAGATTTGGCAGAAAGGGCAACCATGCAAGCCATGAAGAGGAATAATGATTTGTTTGTGGTATTGCGGTCAGTAATATTTTTGTATCTTTTTTTCGTATTTCAAAACCCCACTGTTTCATTTTCAGTGTTTTCCTTTGGAACATCCATGACATGCTCCGTCATGTCCATAAAACATCCCGTCCCCGGAGAGTTCAATATCCAAATTCCTATTTGAAGTTGCCCCTATTGAAATTCGAAAATATGGCAATGACTTCAATTCCCCCGGAAAATATGGAAGATGATAGTAAGTATTGTCATTGAAAAATGATCAGAGGTTTCAAATATAAAAAAAAATTAAAAAAGACCCAAAAATTAAAAAAAAAATCCTAAATGATAGTCCCAGGTCTAGATTTGAAAATAATCTCGAAAAATTCACAATTTTAGCTATAGTCACCTCCCGAAAATTCCTTGATTCGTGATTATGGACTGGCTTTAATCTTGCAGAAATTTCTAAAAAATCAAAAAAAATCTTAGAATTTGGTCTTTGGCCAAATATACTTTCCCAATAGGAAATATGGACCGGATTTAGTCTCCCAAAATGCTAAAAAATCCATGATAAGTTATTGGCTTTAACTGTTTTAAAACTCCCCAAAAATCCGGGATTATGGGCCAAACTTAATCTTAGAAAATATCCCAAAATGATAGACCTGGCTCTAGACTTGAAAATAATCCCGAAAAATTCAGAATTTTAGCTATAATTTCCTCCCGAAAATTCCTTGATTCGTGATTATGGACTGGCTTTAATCTTCCAGAAATAACTAAAAAATAAAAAAAAAAAATCTCAGAATTTGGTCTTTGACCTAAAATACTTTCCCAATAGGATCTGCAAAATATTTCTTGAAAACCCAACAATTATGGACCGGATTTAGTCTCCCAAAAAGGTTAAAAATCCATAACTGGCTTTAACTTTTGTAAAACTCCCTAAAAATACAGGATTATGAGCCAAATTTAATCTTAAAATACATCCTGAAAAAATCCCAGATTATAACTGACATTGACCTCCGCAAAAAATGTATTTAAAATTCCCGATTTTAAACCTACATGAGCCTTTCAAAGAATCCGTAAAATCCATTATTTTGAGTTGATTTTAATCCTTTAAAAATCCCTTGAAACTCAAGGTTCAAGCCCTAAATTTGTCTCATTAAAAATTTCTGAACACAACCTTTAACTAGACCTGACTACAGCCTTCAGCTTAGACTTGACCATACCTGATAAAAAATTCTTTTTTAATTATCAAATTTTCTTCCCTCTACAGTCTCGGAACTCTTTCACATTGTACGTCGGAAATTGGCCCATCTTATGACGGCCTTTAATCAACTGAGCGGTACCACTAAACGACGTTTATCCATTGCCCCCACCAATTTGGAGACACATCGTGAGAACTATATGGCTGATATTGTAGCGATGTTTCAACAGTATGAAGAGGTTGGCGATGGAGATTTTCTGGAAAAATCCAGGGGGCAGGGAAACCTTAACGATGCCGATGATGTTGGCGACGAAGGGGCCAAGGAGAATGACCGCAGCTCAAAAGGAATTTATAGCCGACAACAAATGAAAGCAAAAAGTTTACATTTGGTTGAGGAAAATCTGAAAAAAGACTAAATGAGGACACCTATTAAATATGAGTTGGAAATAATCTAAGAAAAAAAAATAATTTATTGTGAAAAATTACAAAAACAAAAAACAGAAAAAAAAAATATAAATAAAATATGAAAAAATTGCTCAGAATGACAAGAGGGTTTGAAATATTCCGTAAAAACTTATAATTGTGAGCAGAAGTAGATATCAAAAAAAAAAAAAAAAAAAATCGAAAGATCCACGATTAAAGTATTCAAAATATTAAATAATAGCAGATAGTAGAAAATTTCGTATTTTCGTAAACGTGCCCTGAATTCATGTTGTATTAACAAACAAAAGACTTAAGACACAAACGCACTTTGGAAACAACAAAATTATGCTTACATTACAAATGGTCTACAAAACTAGTTGAGTTGCAAACGCAATTTTGAGAATTTCAGCAATGAATACCTACAGCATGGAAATGCCCAAGGAAATATAACAACGCACAATTTTCAAAAAAAAAAAAAAAACAATCCAAATTATTTACATTGTGTTTACACCACTTAAGCCATAACCTCTGGTACTTGTCACAAGGAACCCAAAAACAAATAATTAAATTAAAAGTAGTTTAATATATGATGAATGGTTTATACTTCAAGCTTTTTAAAAAACCCTGACAGGTACACAAGGTTAAAAAAAATCCTTGAAATCCGAGATTTTATTTGACGAGAAGATTTCTAAAAAAACCCACGATTTTATGTCAATGTCAAAATATAATCTTTCGAACAGTTCTTTAAAAATGCATTAAGTTAGGTCAATTTATCATTTCTACAATTCCTTAAAAACCTATCTCGATAAATTAAAAATCCACGATTGTAATCCTGACCATATCCAACGTTAGTCCATGACTTATCCATAAAATGTCACGATTCGGGTCAGGAAAAATTCATCCGAAAATTCCTTAAAAGCCTACAATTTATGAAAGAACATACCCTTCCGAAAAGTCCATAAAAAATTCACGTGTTCAGTCCTTATCTGATATCTTTCAAAACATTTCAAGAAATTTAGCAAAAATTAATCCTTTCCTGGTTTTTATGGGGCTTTTTTTTGGTCAGATTATTTTGAATGAAAATAAGATTTTATTTCATTTTTTTTCTCGGCGTTTCGTTTATTTTAGATTCAGTTATATCCCGCCAAAAATTCCTATAAAATAACCTGTTTTTGTGGTTGGGACTTATCAGCAAATTTAGTCTAGTCAGAATTTTGGTCCAGGTCGAAGAAAGCCTTCCAATTATTCCACAATTATTTGCCAAGATATACTGGTCTTAAAATACCACTATTCGGGTTAGGAAACATTCTTCCGAAAATTCCTTAAAAAACTACAATTTTTGAAAGAACATACCCTTCCGAAAAGTCCATAAAAATTCACGATTCACGATTGTAGTCCTGGCCATCCATCCATTCTTAGTCCATGACTTATCCATAAAATGTCACGATTCGGGTCAGGAAAAATTCATCCGAAAATTCCTTAAAAGCCTACAATTTATGAAAGAACATACCCTTCCGAAAAGTCCATAAAAAATTCACGATTTTAGTTCCGGTGTTATCTTTCAAAACATTTCGAGAAATTTATCAAAAATTATTCCTTTCCTGGTTGTTATCGGGTTTTTTTTGGTCAGATTATTTTAAAATGAAAAAATTTTGCTCGGCGTTTCGTTTATTTTAGATTCAGACATATCCCTTCAAAAATTCCTATAAAATCAACTGTTTTTGTGGTTGGGACTTATCAGCAAATTTAGTCTAGGCAAAATTTTAGTCCTGGTCGAAGAAAGCCTTCCAATTATCCCACAATTATTTGCCTAGATATACTGGTCTTAAAATACTGACCAAAATCCTCAATCACGCAAGCGGACCTCTCTTTGTTTTTTTTACAAAAAGAGATAAATCTATTATTTCCCTATTTTTTTTTTTCAATCCGCCATCGATCTAACGGTTTCATTGCAAATTATATGTTCCAATATAATTATTAAGCAATAATAATTTTGAAACAAAACCGAAAAAAATACCATGCTTTTGCCTCAGAATATTCCAAGCCAAGGGGAATGAATAGTGGAAAAAACAAAAGACTTAAGAAACAAACGTCAGAGCCATGGGCCTGTCTTTATTGCTTTGGCTGCCTGCCTATCCGCCTGCATGCCTACCCCTTTGAGGTGTTTATTTTTACATTAAGAATTTTGCAAATGTTGTTGAACAGTTGTACATTTAGAAATGTGTGTGTGTGTGTGAGAGAGGTAGTCATCTAGTCAGCCACCCACCCAAAATAAACGTTCTCTTACGTATTGGCCCCGAGGGCAATTTAACATCTTCAGCTTATTTGCCTTTGCCGTTTGGCAGTAGTCATGCAATCTGTTGAGTGCTGAATTGGCAACAGCGGCAGCATCATCATCAACGCCATCACCAGCTTGTCCGATTGCCGCAGCTCCATTCATTTAATTCTGCCTCCAGTTTTATTCATTCAACATTATCAAACTTACACTTCTGGAGCGAAAGAATGAATAATGGCTGTATATGTGTGTGTGTGAGAGCTTATGTAATTAAGCAAACCACCAGCTGGTTTTCTGGGGGGAGGGTTGACTGTCCCTCAAGCAATCATGAATGAAATCTGACAAAGATACACGATTGGATTACAGGATTTGGAAGACATTTTTTTCCGAAAATATTATTTTTTTTTTATAATTTTTGAAAAATTTGCACTGGCCTAAATTTGAGTTTTCGGATGGCAGAATATGTATTGTTTATGGATTTTTAAGAAATTTGTGGTGAGTTACAATCTCAGATTTTTTTATGGAAATCCAGGAAGATCACAGTCATCGATTTTTAAGGAATATTTGATGGATTATACTCTCAATTACGTTATTAGACTTGTGAGCATTTTTGTAAAGGCTTAATTGTGGTTTGAAATGTTTTGAGGATATAATCGGGAATTTTAAGAAGTTTTTTTTTTTTGGAATTTTTTTAGGTATTTTAGAAACTTGTTTATAATTGTCCTTTTGAAAAGGAATTCCTTTTTGCAAGGAATTTTTAAAATGAATTGAATTTCTATGAAATTGTTGTAGAGACTATAATCATGGATTTTTAGGTGTTTTTTGTTTTTGGAAAATATGTCCCGAACTGCAATCGTGGATTTTTAAGGTTTTTGAGGGAAATTTAATTTTGGAAGGATATATTTCAAATCATTGGTACTGAATTTTTTTTGAGAATTTTCGAAAGGAAATGTCCTGACATATAATTGTAAATTTTCAACAAAGTTTTTCAAGGATATCTTCCAAACTTTAATCTTCAGTTTTTTGAGGATTTTTGGAAGGATATGTCCTGGTTTTTTGTCATTACTGTTAATTTTTTTTTTTTTTTTGGGGGGGGGGGGGGTATTTTCGGTTGGGAGTATCCTGATATATAATTGTGAATTTTTAAAGACGTTTTTTTTGGAGGATATGTTCCACACTATGGTTCTGAATTTTTCAAGAGTTTTCAATTTTCGAAAGGATATGTCCTCACTTATAACCAAGAATTTTCTATTTTCTAATTTTTGGAGGATATGCTCCACACTATGGTTCTGAATTTTTCAGGAATTTTCGAAGGGATATGCCCTCATTTATAATCAGGAAATTTCCAGGAATTTTTGGAAGAATATATCCTTTAAGCAGAATCTCGGTCATAATCACCACGCTGGCTGAGATAAAACTACTTCATCAAATTCAAATGTCATAATTTTTACAGTTTTTTAAATTTTATTGAATGATAGCAAAAAATGTCGGAAATAGCATAAAATTTTAGAATAAGTTTAGATTTGTTCGAATTGATCACCTTTGGCGCGATTTATGGCCTTCAAACGACCAATAAAACCTTCACACGCTGCCCAAATGTTGCTCTGCGGTATTTTGGCCCATTTTCGGCGAAGCGCTTTTTTGAGGTGATCGACACTTTGGTATTTTTTGTAGAGCCAACCTTGCTTTCCGAACATACTCCAGACACAATAGGCCAACGGATTGGTATCCGGAGATTTTGGTGACCATTGTGCGCTGGAAATGAAGCGAGGAATCTCATTTTGTAACCATTTGTGGGTGGCGCCTGCTGAGTGCGATGGTGCTGAGTCCTGTTGGAAGAATGTCCAAGGTCTGCGGACAAAATGTTTACCTGCCCAAGACTTTATTACGCCCTCCAGAATATTTTCGCAATAATATTCGGCATTTATTCTGATGCCACGGGCGATTAATACGAGCGAAGAGCGACCATCGGCTGTTATGACGGCCCACTTGGCCGGCGCTTGAGTTCTGGTTCTGGTGGCCAACCGAAGGTGCACATTTTCAGCTGACCTGACCTCTTTGCCAATCTGGCTTTCCTAAATACTCCAGACGCAATAGGCCAACGGATTGGTATCCGGAGATTTTGGTGGCCATTGTGCGCTGGAAATGAAGCGAGGAACCTCATTTTGTAACCATTCTTGGGTGGCGGGTTCTGAGTCCTGTTGGAGGAATGTTCAAGGTCTGCGGCCAAAATGTTTGCGTGCCCAAGACTTTAGTACAACCTCCAGAATATTTTCTCGATAATATTCGGCATTTATTCTGTTGCCACGGACAATTAATGCCGGCCCACACAACCATGGCCCACCATGGCCGGCGCTTGAGTTCCGGTGAAGGTGCACATTTTCAGCTGACCTCTTTGGCAAGTAGATACTATCATTTTGTTTGCTTACAAACTGCTGCTGGACAACGAATGTTTTCTCATCGGAGAGAACCAAATGCGGCAGTTCACCACTTTCGGTCGAGCGAAGCAAAGCAACTCTTTAGCACTTTTGAATCTCTTTTCTTTCTGTTGCGGTGTAAGTTCTTGCAATTTTTGGAATTTCAATGGCTTTACCCCGAGCTCATTTTTCAATATTTGCCGAATGGAATATTGCGAAATTTTCAGCTCACGTGCCATTTTTCGGCCACTGCGACGCGGGTTGGATCAAGTCCCTTCGTTTCTTTACTTTTCGAACCATTTCTGCTGATGTTGCTGATTTCTTCCGTCCACTTCCATTTCCGTCCTTGACGTTGGGCTTCGGCTACCAGTATCACCAGATAACGAGCGATGGTACGAGACCCAAAAG